AAATGATCAAGTTTCAAACTTAATTTCAACGTTTACGTTTCAAAGTTTATAACAACGATAATTTCTAACTTAATTTTTCTTGTAACATTGACTACAAGAGAAGTTAAGGCCCTTTTGCTTGCTGAATGAATAATCTCTCATTTGCATTTTGATTAAAACTTTATTTTTATTTTAGGGTTTTCTGGAGAGAAAATTTGATGGATCAGACAATAAACCTGCTCAGTATTCTGGTCCAAAATACACGGTAGTTGAAGTTTCTCCTTCGCAAACTATCGATGACGCCGAGTCAGATTTATCTGACACAGAGAGAAAAGATGCAACGAACGAAGAAAATACTCAATTAATACAACGAACGAATAGTTCTGAACGAAACGTTCCGAATAGTAATACTTCCGACGAACCTGAAAAATCTCTGAGCATTAATTCAGACAAATCGAGCTTCCAAAACTCGAATGAAGAAAAGTTAACAGATGATTGGTTGGTGATAACAGACAAAAAAGAGGTTACTGATGATCAGAAAGGCACTGAAATGAACAATTTCATCTTGGCGCGTCGGAAGTTCAACAACAGCATTTTTCAAGACTGTTCTACTTACGATATCACGTGTCCTACTGCTCATTTGAACGAAGTCAATGATAAATGTTCTCAGCTAAGCAATTCGCAGAACAATAGTTCTTATGTTCATTCGTATTCAACAACAGACAGTATCTCACTTTGTTCTTCAGAAGACTATTTATCAATTTGTTCCGATAAGAATAACATACACACTGGTTCTGCAAATCTTAATGAACATGGTGAAGACCATACTGCCTTATGCGATACATTCTTTACTCATGTTGTGAGCGAGGAACAATCAGAGGTAAATCCATTGTTTTCAAGTGAGCAGCCTATAACCAACTGTAAATCATCGTTAACCGAAAGAGACCTCAACATTGCCGAACAAAGTGAGAGCGAAATCGAAGTCGCCAAACATGATGAACCACCTGTTATGCCAGCAAAACGGAAATTTTCTAGACGCCACCGTAAACGAAGCAGAAAAAGAACCAAATCCAAGAAATCTTATGTTTATGAATGTACAAAATGTGGTGTCTCTTATTGTATTCCTACCAAAGCAATGAATAACGTTGCTTGTTGCTTACATTGCGACTTATGGACTCCTGTCGAACCTGTTTTCGTGAGAAGAGAAAAAACAACGTGGAATACATGTCGTGTCAGCTAAAAAAAGGAATTGTTTTTAGATTGTTTATTGTTCATTAAAAATAAAATTAATAAAAGTTTTTTTTTTAAAAAAAACAGCCTCTTGTCATATAAATACATTTTTCATCGCATTATAGACAACACGCGATGGGCATTTGATTCCTTAAATTCAGTCTTATTCATTATTCCTTAGACTCTACCCTTTTCAAAGACGGGAATTTCTCCAGCCGATCCCGTAAAAAAGTTGTTTTAAATGTTTACACCACACTCCTTGAAATAGTTCAATTTCGTAACCATAGTTACCGACAGTACTCCAGATAAATGGCGAGAGAAGTTCTTTAATAGAAAGAGAGTAGTTCTTCATTGAAGATGTTAGAGGAAAGATATGGTAAGTAACAGGTGAAGTAAATCAACTCTTGCATAGTTGTTGTTGTAGTTCATTTACGACACACTAGAGCTCAGGGGCGTACGCAAGGGGGGTTTAGGGG